ACACACACACACACACACACACACACACACACACACACACACACAAAGCTTTTAGAGGCACTGAGGTTGGAGGGTGAAGGGCAGAAGAGTGTAGCTGTGAAAGCGGCTTGGGGTCAGGTGATCCTTTTGTTTCCCTACTGCCCCCTGAAAATCTGACCAATTGTACAGCAACTATTCCCTAGTATCACTCTTGTACTACCCTCCAAACCTTTAATGATTTTAAACAAAAGAATCACAGCAGCACAGCAAACCCCTTGTCCCCTTTTCCTTTAGGTAACGTACTATTTCACCTAGAACAGCTCCACCACTGCCAGGACCTAACCAGGTCACTGCAACCCCTGGAGTTGGAAAAAATGGGCTTTCATTACTTTTAGTCAGAAACTATCCTACTTTTGCATAAGCTTTTCCTTTTACGCTTTTTATTGTTTTTACGCTTTTTACTCTTGCCTGAAGCATGAATGGTCAAGTGGCTTGCACTGCTACATTATGGTCACAGCACAGCCGATGACCAACGAAACGAAGTGCCAGGAAATCCCGCGAGTGTGCCATAGAGACCTGGGGAGCAGGGAGGCTGTAACAGTTATCAGATTAAATCCAGACTTGTGGTCACCGTTAACCTGCATGTTCTTTGTGAGTCTAGTCTTTTCTATGTGGAACCCACTTTCACTTTTTCTTAAAGAATGCAGCAACTTTTCAAGAGACCTGTCCATATGTACAGCCTCTTCTCCCAAGTGGATAAACAACACGAAGCAATCATGTGCTACAATTCCAGAAGCTGCTATAAAGCAACCTAGGTTAAACTTCCCTATCATCTCCTTTCTTCTAAAATTGCCCACCAAAAACCCCAAATAAAAGGCAAAAAGATTGTCACAAAAAGAAAAGCAGAGGTTAAATGCCTAAGATTACAGCATAAGCTAAGGGGGCCTTTGCTTATTGATTTATTCAGACATTTATCTCATGTCTATGCATACCAAGCTTTTATATCGCAAAGTGAAGAATACAGATTCGGCATGGTCACTCCTGTCCTCAGAGAGCAGCAGTAAGTCATGCACAGGCAATTACACTCCAGGGGGACAGAGTGCTCAGTGCAATGAGTCTGTGAAAGAACAGATTATCGGCAAAGGCTTCAAGGAATCAGAGGACTTAAAACGTGCCCAGTACAGTCCTAACTGCAAGAACCATACACTTAAATCTCATACCATCTACATGAGGCAGTTACTATTATTCCCAACATACCAACAAGAAAACAGCAGCATAGCACGGCGTGGTTAAGCAATTTGTTCCAGACCATATAGCTATTAAGTGACAGTGTAGGATTCAAAACCTGAAGTCTGATTCTAAGCCCACTCCTGCTCTTAATCACCACACTAATTAGGAGTGAGTTAGGTTAAAGGAGGAAGGGAGGAGGCAAGTTCCCAGACAAAAATCTTCATAAAGAGAAAACTCAAAATTGTTTGAGGAACTGAGACAAATTCACTTTGATTGAGCTTCAGAGTATCAGGGTAAGAGCAAAAAGAAATGAGGCAGGGCCACCACACAGAAGTGGCTGGATGTGATTTTCAGAGGTACATATTCTGTCTCAGCCCATCAATTCCAGAAAGAAGCAAAAGTCTAATCCTATCATCAAAACTGAAAGAGCTAGAGGAGCAAGACAAAAAAAAAACTGAAAAGCTTGCAGAAGACAAGAAATAACTAACATCAGAGCAGAACTGAAGGAGATAAAGACACAAAAAACCCTTCAAAAAATCAATAAATCCAGGAGCTGGTTTTTTGAAAAGATCAACAAAATAGACCACTAGCCAGATTAATAAAAAAGAAAAGAGAAAAGAATCAAATAGATGCAATAAAAAACAATAAATGGGATATCACCACCGATTCCACAGAATTACAAACTATCATCAGAGATTACTAAAAACAATTCTATACACAAAAACCAGTGAACCTGGAAGTAATGGATAAATTCTTGGACACTTGCACCCTCCCAATCATAAACCAGGAAGAAGTTGAAACCCTGAATAGACCAATAACAAGGGCTGAAGTTGAGGAAGGAATTAATAGCCTACCAACCAAAAAAAGTCCAGGTCCAGATGGGTTCACAGTCAAATTCTACCAGACATACAAAGAGGAGCTGGTACCATTCCTTCTGAAACTATTCCAAACAATGCAAAACGAGGGAATCCTTCCCAAATCGTTTTATGAGACCAACAACATCTGATACCAAAACTTGGCAGAGAATTAACAAAAAAAGAAAACTTCACACCAATATCCATGATGAACATAGATCCAAAAATCTTCGATAAAATACTGGCAAACCGACTGCAACAGCACATCAAAAAGCTTATCCACCATGATCAAGTAGGCTTCATCCCGGGGATGCAAGGCTGGTTCAACATACGCAAGTCTATAAATGTAGTCCACCACATAATCAAAATCAAAGACAAAAAACACATGATTATTTCAATAGATGCAAAGAAGGCTTTGACAAAACTCAACAGCCCTTTATGCTAAAAACTCTCAGTAAAACTAGGTAATGATGGAATGTATCTCAAAATAAGAAAAGCTAAAAGCTATTTACGACAAACCAACAACCAATATCATACTGAATGGGCAAAAACTGGAAGCATTCCCTTTGAAATCTGGCACTAGACAAGGATGTCCTCTCTCACCACTCCTATTTAATACAGTATTGGAAGTTCTAGCCAGAGTAATCAGGCAAGAAAAAAAAATAAAGGGTATTCAATTAGGAAAGGAGGAAGTCAAATTGTCTCCATTTGCGGATGACGTGACTGTATATTTAGAAGACCCCATCGCCTCAGCCCAAAATCTCCTGAAACTGATAAGCAACTTCAGCAAAGTCTCAGGATACAAAATCAATGTGCAGAAATCATAAGCATTCCTAGACACCAATAACAGACTTAAAGAGAGCCACATCAAGAGTGAACTCCCACTCACAATTGCTACAAAGAGAATAAAATACCTAGAAATACACCTAACAAAGGAAGTAAAGGACCTCTTCAAGGAGAACTACAAACCACTGTTCAAGGAAATAAGAGAGGACACAAACAGATGGAAAAACATTCCATGCTCATGGTTAGGAAGAATAAATATCATGAAAATGGCCATACTGCCCAAAGTAATTTATAGATTCAATTCTATCCCCATCAAGCTGCAAATGACCTTCCTCACAGAACTGGAAAAAAACACCTTAAACTTTACATGGAATCTAAAGAGAGACTGCATAGCCAAGACAATCCTAAGCAAAAAGAACAAAGCAGGAGGCATCACACTACCATCTGGCATGTGCCGTGTCCTGCGCTGCACAAGGGTTCAAGGATCAAAGAGGGAACGGTGAGAGATGAAGGAGGACACAGACACAGACATGGAGAAAGCTGGGCCAGGCGGTCTGGGAGGTGATGAAGTCAGTCTCTCCAGCCCCGACCTGTCTCAGTGTCCTTTATATGTTCACAAAGCACATAGCAGAGGGATGGTACAGTTACTTAGAGCAGGATGTGGTTATTATTCTTATACTTCAGTTAACATACTTCAGCTAAAAACTATCTTGCAGCAAGATCAGCAAAAGCTGGTTATCTCTCTAGGCCTGTCTCTTCTCTCCGAGACATATACTGTATATCCTTCTACTGTGGTTTCACTTCCCTGAAGTTCAACCAAAGTTCACAGCAGCCTTGCTGCTGATCCCCCCAGAGCAGGTGTGCTACTCTGGCTCCCTATACTACCTGACTACAAACTATACTACAAGGCTACAGTAATCAAAACTGCATGGTACTGGTACCAAAACAGAGGTATAGACCAATGGAACAGAACAGAAGCCTCAGAGGCAACGCCACACATCTACAACCATCTGATCTTTACAAACTGGACGAAAACAAGCAATGGGGAAAGGATTCCCTGTTTAATAAATGGTGTTGGGAAAACTGGCTAGCCATGCGCAGAAAGCAGAAACTGGACCCCTTCCTGAAATTAACTCCAGGTGGATTAAAGACATAAACATAAGAGCTAACACAATAAAAAACCTAGAAGAAAACCTAGGCAAAACCATTCAGGACATAGGCATAGGTGAGGACTTCATGACCAAAACACCAAAAGTATTGGCAACAAAAGCCAAAACAGACAAATGGGATCTAAACTCCAGAGCTTCTGTACCAGAAAAGAAACAATCATTAGAGTGAATTGGCAACCAACAGAATGGGAAAAAATTTTTCCAATCTACCCATCTGACAAAGGGCTAATATCCAGAATCTAGAAAGAACTAAAACAGATTTACAAGACAAAAAACAAATCCATTCAAAAGTGAGCAAAGGATATGAACAGACACTTTTCAAAAGAAGACATATATGAGGCCACAAACATATGAAAAAATGCTCATCATCACTGGTCATTAGAGAAATGCAAATGAAAACCACATTGATGATACCATCTCACATGGGTTAGAATGGCAATCATTAAAAAATCTAGAGACAACAGATGCTAGAGAGGATGTGGAGAAATAGGAACATTTTAAACTGTTGATGGGAGTGTAAATTAGTTCAACCATTGTGGAAGACAGTGTGGCAATTCCTCAAGAACCTAGAAATAGAAATTCCATTTGACCCAGCAATCTCATTACTGGGTATATACTCAAAGGATTATAAATCATACTATTATAAAGACACATCCACATGTATGTTCATTGCGGCACTGTTTACAATAGCAATGACCTGGAACCAACCCATATGACCATCAATTACAGACTGGACAAGGAAAATGTGGCACATGTATACTATGGAGTACTATGCAGCCATAAAAAATGATGAGTTCATGCCCTTTGTAGGGACATGGATGAATCTGGAAACCATCATTCTCAGCAAACTGACACAAGAACGGAAAATCAAACACTGAATGTTCTCACTCATAGACAGATGTTGAACAATGAGAACACATGGACACAGGGAGGGGAGCATCACACACTGGGGTCTGTTGGTGAGGCTAAGGGACAGACAGTGGGGGGTTGGGGAGGTTGGGGAGGGATAACATGGGGAGAAATGCTAGATACAGGTGATGGGGGGATGTAGGCAGCAAACCACATTGCCATGTATGTACCTATGCAACAATCCTGCATGATCTGCACATGTACCCCAGAACCTAAATTAAAAAAAAAAAATGACCAAAAAAATTCCAACATGCAAGAGAATATAGTTATATGATAATTACAAATCATAAAAATGTATTTCAGCTATAAATTCAGAACAGTTTTTTAACTACAAAACAAGGGAACTTGCCATACTCAGGACTAAAAATTGGCTGAGGCATGATGCAGGAATGAAAAGGTCTGCATTCCACATTTTGAACTATCCATAAGGGTAACTAGCTCTGTAACTTTGGCCAGTGAGCCTTTTTCTATTCTACAAAAGAAATATAACTGCTTTGGAAAATAAAATCCATGTAAATATCAAGTTTATAGTTAACTTCCTTTTATCATTTATACTTTGAAATACTAGTCTTTGGCACAGAGCAGCACATTTAACCATATGCACCTTTCACCACAATTTTTAGAAAACTATGGGAAAAACTGGTTTGTACAACACGTAATTCCGAACTTCGGCATCCTAAACCTCCAAAATCCATAGCTAATTTCTGCTTTGAAATCCCCACTATGTTTTATTGGCTAAACAAATCTTTGTCTTTGCCAAGGAAAATAAATGATTTCAATAAAAGGATCTCTGGTTAATTGCCCTCATGGGGGCTGAAAATACTCTGAACTTTCTCAACAACAGCTAAATCCAAGTTCCTCCCCTCCTACACTTTGGGAAATGGATCAGCTACCTAAAGTCATAGATCTTTCTGTCCCAAGTGTAAAATTCAAAAATCACAGACTTGGGACCCCAAACGCAATGGAGACTCAGAAGGTATCTTTCCCACTACTGTTTCCTATCCCCACCCTTACTAAGAAATTACTTCATCTTAGTCAATTAAAGTGGCAAATTAAAAGTACAGCATCATGAAGCAAGAATCACAAAGAAATCATAAGAAGAAAGAAACCCTAGATAAAAATTGCAATGCCTTTGCCTGGTTAATTTGTCATTATGTTTTTAGAAAACAGGGGAAAAGAATCTCACAGAATAAAGGTTGCAAAGGCTGACTACAGGCACCTTTTCTAAACCAAGCTGTGTTGTTTTGAAAATAAAAACCACTGTCAACTCTCGTTACCATATGAGGACAGGCATAATTTATAGGTGAAATAATTATTTTCAACTCCTGGGTTTGTTCATTTCAGAACTGATATTCACAAAAATGCAAATGGAAGGAATGAGCTTCTGGTAGCTCCTTGAAGCTGTAATAGCATATGACCTATGCACTGGTAAATCTAGTTTTGTTTTGTTTTGTTTTTAACTCTGGCCATGAGAAACCAAAATAAGCATTCTTTTA